TTTTATCTTATAAGTAATTTTTTAATTATAGTATACTTTTTTGCTTATAAATAATTTTTTTAGTTCGTATACTTTTATTTATAAGTTAGTATTAAACAAAATATATTTGTTGGAAATAATTATTTTATAAAGTATAACATTAAAAGATAATCTGAGAAACGGTAAAAAATCACCGATTTGGTGGGTTGAGAGAGCCGATCAAAATTACACTACATTGTTTTTGGGGATTTTTAAACCATCCAAAACCATTGTCCAATAAATCTAGCAAGCACTAATTCTTCCAACTCCCCATAAACGGTGTTACCCAAAATCAGTTACAACCGGATAAATTCAAACTCCAAAGCAGGCCCTTCGAGGAAAAAAATCATATATAACCATGTAAATAAGTAACTATTGAACTTCATAATAAAGAAAGCCAAAAATACTGACTTTGATTTTTTATTTTTATTTTTGTATCTGAACTATAAATAATCAAAACTCACTAAATATTCTCTTAAAATTAAGCAAAATTAATGCCATCTCACATTTCCATTTTAATTGAAACCAAATTAAAGTCAATTAATTATAATCAAATTGACTATTTCTTTTTTTAAAATTGAATCCATTTAATTACAACTCTTAAAATTCAAAAAACCCATTTAATTCAAAACAATTTTAGCCGAGAAACATGTTGATAATCAAGTTCTACCGTTCACTTCAAAGATAATAGATTTGGCTATAAAGCTATTTTTTGCATCTTACTTTGGGTTGGAAACACTGTTACTCACAAATTTAATTTTGATATTCACATTACTAAAATTTAGGTTTTTTATTTTGAAATTCGATCGAGCAAATTTTGGGCAGTAAATCAGGTTCAAATATGATTACAATCATAAAGCAGGTTTGCAATGCCTTGTTGTAATAATTTTCTGTAATATATGTTCAACTAGATATGTGGTATTATTACTATTATAACAAACCAATTTTCAAAATGTATAAATAATCACAAGATGTCATAGATTCACAAGATGTATGATATTACATATTTTGATATCGGTATGTTATGAATTCTTAACTACTGTATGTTCCGCAACTTCTAACTTGTTGTGACGTATTTATAACAAATTGTGTATAATAATCAGCATTCTAAAAAGAGGCGTTTAGGTGGGAAGCGGGCTCAAAATTTCTCGCATTGCGCTTTTTCGTGTTTTTTAATTAATTATTTATTTTTTTCACATCTAGCGCGCTTTTTTTTTCTTTTTTTAACACTTTTAACCTTTTTTTATGCTTTTTTACTTTGATTATTATATAATTTTTAAATTGATTTTAAAATGTACAGTAATATTAAAATAAGAATTTTTTTTTTTTTAAAGCCTATGCAAAAACTTAGCCTTGATAGAATGTTGTATATGCTACGTACTAAACTGCTTTGATTCGATTAACATGTCATGATGTACTTGTTGTGATATGTTATGTATGCTTCGTGTTTAATAAGATCTATAACATTATCTTTTACATTTCTTGTAGTTATAGGGCAAGAGTTGCGATGGAAATAGGTATTTGATATCATACAAAAGAGGTATTTGATATCATAAAAAAGGTTTTCTAATTGG